TACTCTCAGTCATTACATGTGCTTGAAGGTATTGAAGTTTGGAATTTTTCAAATCGAGGATTGTGAACCCTGTTATACACTGAGAATTCTCTCCCCCGAGTGACCCCCCCACAAAATGAGGAGGCCGAACAAAAAGATAATGGTACGTGTTAGAATGGATCAGACACAAGCCGGACAAGAACTGTTTCCTCCTCCTTTTACTACATGCTGGTTATATTTTAACAGAAAAGGGAAATTTTGCATCGAGTCATCTAGCCTAGCATTGCACTGAAAGGAAGCGTTGTTTTAAATTATTTCTAGCACTGTCTTAAAGTTCATGATCGAAAGGCTGAGTTGAAGCCCAGGTGGGACAACAAAAGGAAGCTAATTAACATCAGGTTTCTGGCAATTCTGTTTCCCTGCTCTGAAGTAGATGAGCTGTTCTTACCTCATGAGCTCTAGTATCTTTCCACAGGGGATATATGCAAATTCCCTAACTGGGGTGTTGCTCTGGAAGTCATAAGTCATTCCGTGCATCAAGTAGTGCTCTGCTTTGTAATTTTCAAAACGATTAGATATGCTGTCTTGTGCCCAGGGAATCCTCCTAATGTTAGATGTTCAGATTCTAGGGCTGGAACACCATGTCTGCATTCTGTGCTTCTGTATCTCTCTCTCTCTCTTCTTTTTACCTCCAAAACGGGCCAGCGTTGCTCTTACAGACCTGTTAGTGAACATATCTTCATGACAGATTTGATGAGTTTTAGGTATGGCTCAGTTGAAAGATCAGTCCATAAGAACTTGGTGTTTTCCTTCAGTAGTGGGCACGTTTCTTAACCACCCAGTATGCCAGTTGTGAAGGGTATGCGTGCGCTTTTGCTGTATTTGAGTCCTGTGCTGTGAGGAAAGGGGACCAGTGAATAGTGTTAGTTTAGGCCCTTTCACTTCCCCAGTGAGTGGAGTCGGGATGAATGGAAACTGGTTGTGTGTGAAGATAACCCAAGGTGTGTAGATCCAGAGGCGTTAGCCGTGTTATAGTCTGTTGCTGCAAAACAGTAAAAAAGCCCAGTAGCACCTTTAAGACTAACAAACTTTATTGTAGCATAAGCTTTCATGTGAATTTTAACTTTAACTTTGCATTTATTTAAGATTTATTTTGTGATACATATAGTCTCCTGATTCAGTCACATAAAGATTTTACTATACATGTTTTAATCTCCTAAGAACACAAGAAGAGCCCTGCTGGATCAGACCAGTGGTCCATCTAGCCCAGCATCCTGTCTCATACAGTGGTCAACCAGTTCCTCTAAGATGGCGAACAACAGGGCAGAGAGGCTTGAGGCCTTCCCCTGATGTTGCCTCCTGGCTCACGGATTCAGAGTTTCAGTTGCTCTGAAACTGGAGGTCCCCCCTCAGTCACCATGGCCAGTAGCCACTGATAGACCTCCATGAATCTATTGAATCCCTTCTAAAGCTGTTTATTCCTGTGGCCATCACTACATCCTCTGGCAATGAATTCCACATTTTAGTCACTCTCTGTGTCAAGTAGTATTTCCTTGTGTCCGTCCTGAACCTACTCCCCATCGGCTTCATTGGATGCCCTCGAGTTCTAGTATTTTGGGAGAGGGAGAAAAAGTTCTGTCCACTCTCTCCACCCCATGCGTCATTTTACAAACCTCTGTCATGTCCCCCCTCAATCGTCTCTTTTCTAAGCTGAAGATTCCCCAACGCTTCAGCCTTTCCTCATAGAGAAGGTGTTCCACCCCCCTAATCATCTTGGTCGCCCTCCTATGTACTTTTCCCAGCTCTGCATGGTCTTTTTTTTTTTTTTGAGATATGGTGACCAGAACCGTACACAGTATTCCAACTGTGGCCGCACCATAGATCTGTACAGGGACATTATAACATTGGTGGTTTTATTTTCAACCCCTTTCCTGATAATCCCTAACATAGAGTTTGCCTTTTTCACTGCTGCAGCACACTGGGTTGACACTTTCATTGAGCTATCCACTACGACCCCACGATCTTTTCCCCTGTTGGTTCAGTTTGATGTAGTGGTTAAGTGCGCGGACTCTAATCTGGGAGAACCGGGTTTGATTCCCCACTCCTCCACTTGCAGCTGCTGGATGACCTTGGGCAAGCCATAGTTCTGTTAGAGCTGTTCTCGCAAGGACAGTTATGGAAAGATCTCTCTCAGCCCCACCTACCTCCCAGGGTGTCTGTTGTGGGGAGGGGAAGGGAAAGGAGTTTGTAAGCCACTCTGAGACACCTTTGGGTAGTGAAGGGCGGAGTATAAATCCAATCTCCCCCTCCTCCTTCTTCTACTTCTACTTCTTCTACTTCTTCTTCTACTACTTCTACGTCTTCTTCTTCTACTACTTCTACGCCTTCTTCTACATCTACTACTACTACTACTATAATGTCAAGAGCTTTGGTAGTGTCTTCATCTTGCTGGACAGAAGACGCTGAGAATTTCTTTAGATATGTGCCGCTGGCCATTTCAGCTGTAAGCTGTTCTTAGGCGTAGTTACTGCTGTTTACCTCCTGGTAATCGTAGACTATTGACATTTAACGTTTGCAGTCTGGATGAGTGAGCTCGGTGTACTGAAGTGTGCCCTCTTTATCTGTTTGGTAGTCTTGAGTCCGGACATCAGAAGGCCATGGACTCTCACCTGACCCGAGAGAGGTACTCCCGAGTTTTATCCCCTCTCCTTTGGATGGGTAGAAAAGGGCACTCCACACCAGGGATGTCCAGTGAGCCTTAACAGGATGGCTAGCCATAGAAAGGATGCTAGGGTGCTTTTAAAGAGCCCCTAAGTATCCAGAAAGGAGCTGCGGTGGCTCAGTGGTTAAGACGCTGAACTGCAGGCTGGAAAGTCGGTAGTTCAGCAATTCGAGACCCGAGTGTGCCGCGTGATGGAGTGAGCTCCTGTCCCTGGCAGTGTTCCCTCTAAGCTGAGTCAGTCTGAGCCAGCTCACAGTTTTTTAGCCTCCAGCTCACACGTTTTTGTTTCAGCTCAGGAAGGAGGGCTTCAGAGCGAACCAATTGATGCAGCAGCCAAATCGCTCGCTCACAACTTTAATGTCGGTCGCTCACCAAGTAGAATGTTTCCTCACAGGACTCCACGGCTTAGAGGGAACAGCTCCTGCCAACCTAGCAGTTCGAAAGCAAGAAATTGCAAGTAGATAAATAGGTACCACTTCGGTGGGAAGGTAACAGCGTTCCGCGCGCCTCGGCGTCTAGTCATGCCGGCCACATGACCACGGGAACGTCTTCGGACAGCGCTGACTCTTCGGCTTGGAAACGGAGATGAGCACCGCAACCCTAGAGTCGGATTCGACTGGCTATCGACCAAGGGAAACCTTTACCTTTTTCAAATATCCAGAAGTTTCAGTTCCACGTTTCTCAGGATACATAGCTTTCTCCATCACATTATGTTACACTGGCTCGACTACTTCAGCCCTTGCATGTCAGAGGTCGTTCTCCCTTCTGGAGTTCTGTAAAACTGTCATGCACTCCATGCCACCCCATTCATCACATGTGAGAGGGATTCCCAATGTGCTCATGCACATCGTTACGCCTGTGGACACGTTTCCTGGTGCCAGCCAGGTGTGTTTAGAAAGTGGGTGTGGCCAGGTGGGGCTTTTGCCCAGCAAGGGTTCTGATTGGCCACCGCAGATTTGATTGGCTGTGCAGATTTTAAATAACGTTGCTTTCACAGCAGCTGCTACCACAGCATAAGGATACCCACTATGCCAGCCATTATGTGGCTGGCTCCGGCCTCCTGCAGCAGTCATTTGGTGTCTGCGCCCACCATACTAGGTCAGAATTCCAAAGGGGTCCACGGGCTCAAAAAGGTTAGGGACCGCTGATGTGTGAGCTCTTTGATGTGTAACTCAGGTGATGCGTTGTTTAGCTGCATTGTCTTGCAGAGCCTGTTTTTCCGATGGAATAGCCTTTGCAGGCACCTGAGCCTCTCAGTCTCCCTTCATAAGAACATAAGAGACGCCAATGTTGGATCAGTCCAACACTCTGTGTCACACAGTGGCCATAAATACCAGGTGCCATCAGGAGGTCCACCAGTGGGGCCAGGACACTAGATGCCCTCCCATTGTTGCCACCCCCAAGCACCAAGAATACAGAGCATCCCTTACCCCAGACTGAGAGTTCCTATCTATACCTTGTGGCTAATAGCCACTGATGGACCTCTGCTCCATATGCTTATCTAATTCCCTCTTGAAGCCATCCACACTTGTAGCCGCCACCACTTCCTGTGGCAGTGAATTCCACGTGCTAATCACTCTTTGGGTGAAGAAGTACTTCCTACATCAGTGTGACAGCACAGGAAGCACAAAGGGTACCTGACATTTCTCGGGGGGGGGGTCACCTGTGCATAAGGCTGTGCAGCCCACCACCCACTGTTCCTGTTATTCCTGTCCTCCAACTCTAATTCTCTACCTGAGCAGTGGTGAAGAGAGAGCTAAGCGGAAAGGCACTCCCCCTGCACTGAGGGGCCATATGTACACGGCACAGGCCCCTAGAGAGGAGAGGGGAGAGCGTCATTCCCAGGCTAAAGCTCTGGAGTGTTTCAAAGCTGCCTGCGCACAATGGCAGACCTTATTAGCGTAACTGCACAGACAACTACTTGGGAAGTGTTAGTTCCAGGTAAGCAAACCTGCCTCTTGTGTTCCAGATTCTGAGTTACGTTATTTAAAAGAATTTAATTAATGAAAATCGATCCAGGTCTCAGACATATTTATTCCTTTACAACTGTTGACCTTATAACCTTAGCTGGTTGTTTAATTCCGTTTTCGCATATCTTAAAGCATCTCCATCACATTACATGTTAATCTGCTGTTCGGCCCGTCTATACGTTTGAACCTTACCTCCCATTCCAATGTATTTGAAAAAGTGTGCCTGCACATGAAAGCTCATACCTTGAATAAAACTTTGTGGGTCTTACAGGTGCCACACCGGACTCCGAATTTGTTCTATTAATGAGAATCGTTGTTGTCTGTTCTAGGATTCACCGTTATTTGAGCTTATAAAGCAGTCAAAGGAACGAGACGGACAGGCTGACCAGCTTGAGCCCGTCGGCAACCTTACCCAGCCTCCGCAGCATAATCACACTGCCGCAGACCTGTAAGTAAAATAGGAACCTATGAAGCTGCTATATACCATGTCAGGTTACTGGTCTGCCAGTTTGGTGTAGTGGTTAGCAGTCAAAGGAACGAGACGGACAGGCTGACCAGCTTGAGCCCGTCGGCAACCTTACCCAGCCTCCGCAGCATAATCACACTGCCGCAGACCTGTAAGTAAAATAGGAACCTATGAAGCTGCTATATACCATGTCAGGTTACTGGTCTGCCAGTTTGGTGTAGTGGTTCAGTGCGCGGACTCTAATCTGGGAGAACCACTCCTCCACTCGCACCTGACTGGATGACCTTGGGCAAGCCGTAGTTCTGATAAGAGCTGTTCTTGAAAAAAGAGCAGTTTCTGTCGAGCTCTCTCAGCCCCACCTACAAGGGTGTCTGTTGTGGGGAAGGGAAAGGAGTTTGGAAGCCACTCTGAGACACCTTTGGGTAGTGAAGGGCGGGGTATAAATCCAACCTCCTCTTCTTCATTTTCTAAATGTGTACCAAGCTTGGTAAGCTACGTTCCTTCCCTTCTGGTTCACGCTTAAGGCAAGCTGCGCACTACGTCTCCATGTGACCTTGTTGCTTTACCAGTGACAGCACTGATGACAGTGGGGAGTGGGGCTGGAATTGCAGAGGAAGAAAAGGAATCCAGGCGGTGGTGCCGAGAGTTATGTTTTAAAACAAATTGGTGGCGGGCCCGTGTCTGTGATCTGGCTATGTTCAGTGTAAGTAATGTATTGAATTGACTTTATGGTGTTTAATGCGTTTGTTGGTTGCTTTTCAGTCTCAGTCATTCTCAGAGCAACTTAAAAATTGGAAACATTAACACTCCTGTTGGTGGTCATTTTTCCCCCCTAGATATCTCTCCCCGAGTTCGACCTACTCCGCTGCCAGACCACAGAAATCCACTTCTCTCTCGCTTTTTTACAAAAAAGGTTGGTAAGATTAATGACAAGTAAATATTGTGACCTGGATCCATACAGCTGTTCTAAGCGTTCTCTGCCCAGGTTTGGTTCTTCTCTCCCCCAAGCTTTTGAAGGCTGGAGGACTCTCCGTGGTGAGATGCGAACTAGCACGTGGGGCAGGAGCGGCTTGACATTTGTAACCTCTGTGTGTGTGTGTGAAAAAGAAGTCTTTTCCGCTCATGGCAAGTTGCGCATCGGATCCAAGCCTGTATATTTGGAAGCTACCCGAATCCTTTGCTTTGGTCTATTTTGCATTGTAGTTTAAAAGTAAACATGAATCATGGTGGTGGAAAGTGCCGTCAAGTCGCAGTCGACTTACGATGACCCGGCAGGATTTTCAATATAAGATCCATTCAGAGGTGGTTTGCCCATAGCCTGCCTTAGCGCTGTAACCAATGTTCTCACTCTGGCTCACCCCCTTTTGCCTTAGCTCAGGAAGGGATGGCTCCAGAGCAAACTAATTTCTGCAGTAGCCAAATCGCTCGCTCACAACTTCAACGCCAGGAGCTCACAAAGTAGAAGTTTGCTCACAAGACTCCACAGCTTAGAGGGAGCATTGGCAGGATTTTCAATATAAGATCCATTCAGAGGTGGTTTGCCCATAGCCTGCCTTAGCGCTGTAACCAATGTTCTCGCTCTGGCTCGCACTTTTTTGTCTTCGTTCAGGAAGGGATGTCTCCAGAGTAAACTAATTTCCGCAGCAGCCAAATCGCTCACTCACAACTTTAACGCCAGGAGCTCACAAAGTAGAATTTTTGCTCACAAGACTCCACAGCTTAGAGAGAGCATTGGCTGTAACTCTGGACCCTTGTTGGTCTCCCATCCAAATATTAAGCAGGACTGGCCCTGTTTAGCTTCTGACATCTGATGAGATTGGGCTAGCCTGGGCTATTCAGGTCAGGGTGAACATGAGTGATACCAACTAATTGTAATAACATACAACATGCAGATTAAGTGTAAAGTTGCTTTGTAACCTTTCCTTTGTTATATTTCCGGAGCAAAATCAGGGAGTTTCTGTCCCTTTCCCCCACCTCTTGATATATAATTATTACATCAGCCTACAAAAACATCTGTACCTTCCTTCTGCCAGTCTTAATACCTTTGACATCTTGATCTAGTTTCATTTTCGTACCATGGTTCGTACCATGTTCAAACAGACACCGGGGACAAAGGACAACGTTGTTGTGTTTCTGTTTCTGTTTTAAAGATCCTTTGATAATTCCCTATATATTATCATCCTGACCTTTGGATCTCTTGTTTTGAAATTTATTTTATAGTGTAATTTAACCAAACCTCTTTGTAATGTTTAACAAAAAAAACCCCCCAGCTGTTTCAAGCGTTCATGATTTATAACACTGACCTCACCCACAATTTTACTATCAGTAATATTTAGTATTTGTCTTATATTACAAGTTAATTTCGTACCTTTAAAGAAACCAGACTAGTTAAGGCGGCCACAATTTGACACTGGCCAATGATTTTAAGTCTGTTCCTGTCAGAATCTTGGTTAAATCAGTTCTCAACACCACTCACTTCGAAGAAAGTTTAGTTTATTGAGATGTTGAAGAATACCATACTGAACACAAGCTTTGTTAGGACTGAAGGTGAAAGCGCGGAGATTGCAGATATATTGTGTTCAAGCAATCACCCCCACGGCAATCACCCCCACGCCATTTGCCCACCAGAAAGAACGGTCAACTACCACCCCCCCCACTAAGCACGTACCCCTCTACAGAAATGAAGCAAAACAACAGGTCTTTGCGACACATCAAAGCATTTAGGAAAACAAAAGCATTTGGCTTTCACACACCCCTTCCCCTCTTCCTTCTTCTATGGCAGGCGAACTATAAAAGGCATACTGAGCCTGACAGCTCCACCCAAGGATGGCTTTTCTAGAAGTCTCACTACTTCCACTATTAATAGGTCTCCCCAACTTTGCAGGTGTTCAGAGTTCCTTCTGATCTAAACCCCACCCACCAGCTAGTGATCTGTTCACAAGAATGCATCGCATTGCCCACCCCACACACAGAGAGCATCAAATCCGAGCTGCTTCTAGCTGTGTGTGCGGTGCTCAGTGACCAATGTAGGACTGTCTCTGTTAACCACATTGGCCACGGAGTCCTTGGCTGTTTCAGGTGGCACGGCCTCAGCTTGGATGTTTTAAGACCCCCCTTAGAATTATGAAGGTTGGGGACATCCACCATCATTGCTGAAATAAGCTCTGTCGGCTGAGACGGTGGAATGGGTGGTATACCAACACAGTCTCTGAGCTGTCTTGTAAGATTAACCCCTAGGTAAAGGTAAAGGTTCCCTTGCTCGAAAGCCAGTCGAATCCGACTCTAGGGTTGCGGTGCTCATCTCCGTTTCAAAGCCGAAGAGCCAGCGCTGTCCGAAGATGTTTCCGTGGCCATGTGGCCGGCATGACTAGGCACCAAGGCGCACGGAACGCTGTTCCCTTCCCACCGAAGTGGTCCCTATTTATCTACTTGCAATTTCTTGCTTTCGAATGGCTAGGCTGGCAGGAGCTGGAACTAGAGACGGGAGCTCACTCCGTCATGCGGCACCCGGGTCTCGAACTGCTGAACTACCGACCTTCCACAGCCTGCAGTTCAGCGTCTTGTACTCAAAATGTGGAGGCCGTTGAGTAGGATGATGTGCGAAGGAGAAGGATTCATGATCGACTGGCATGACTCTCCCACCCTGTGCACCCCCCACTCCCTGCCTCACTTGCTGTTCTACTAAGACCTCTACCAGACATCATTGTTACAGTCTTTCCCCTCTCCCATCATCAAGCCAGGTCTTGGTAATGCGTGCCAGGTTGGTGTGTTCCTGCAGTATTTGAAGACTGCTATCGTGTTACGCCTTAGTTGTCTCCTCTCCAGGTTAAACATACCCAGGTCCTTCAACCCTTCCGCATAGGAATTGGTCTCCGGACCCCTCACCATCTTCGTTGCCCTCCTCTGGGCATGTTCCACCCTGTCAAAATCCTTCTTAAACTGCAGTGCGCAAAACTGAACACAATACCCCAAGTGAGGTCTAATCAGAACAGAATAAAGTGGTACCATCACTGTGCCTGATCTGGACACTATATGTCTATTGTCGCAGCCCAGAATCACATTTGCCTTCAGACTACCACATCACACTGTTGGCTCACATTCAGTGAATAGGTCTGCTAAGACCCCTAGATCCTGTTTGCATGTACTCCTCCCAAGACAAGTCTCCCCCCCTCCTGTCACGATGCGTTTGATTCTCCTACCTAAATGCAGAACTGTACATTTATCTCTACTGAAACTGATTTTGTCAGTTTTAAGTCCAGTTTTCTGGCCTGTCAAGATCATCCTGTATCCTGACTCTGTCTTCTGCTGCATTTGCTACCCCTCCCAATTTAGTGTGGCCTGCAGATTTAATGAGCATCCCCTCTATTCCTTCATCCAAGTCATTTATAAAGATGTTGAACAACACAAGGCCCTGGACAGATCCCTGAGGCACTCATCCCTGAGATGAAACGGGCTGTGCTTGAAACTGCTGTGTGGTTAATTACCCGCCCCAGCCAAATGCCCTGCATGCTCCTTGTAAATATGACTTTCTACAGGCTGTTACAAGAAGCCGAATCTTAACTTTGCTTTACTGAAAATTGCAGAGCTTTATCACAGATTCCTGTTCCGTGGCTGCAGTCTGCTATGGAACCCAGCAGAAATCAGAACATTGATTCTGTCATCTTGAAATAGCAGTTTTTCTTCTTTCTAGTGTACTGGCTGGCTTACCTGCGATTGAACAACTTAGCTTCACGTCTTCTTCCCGACCACCCGGACCTGGTGCATTTGATCTGGACGCTTTTTCATCACACGCTGCAAAATGAATATGAGCTTATGAAAGACAGGCACTTAGACCAGGTAACGCCTCTTGCAGGGTGGACCGACCAGCCTTGTATGGACTAGGTTTCTGTCTTGGACTAGAATTCCTATTATCCACCAGTGTGTATTACTTTTACAAAGGAGATCTCTTAACAGACCTGTGCTGAGTGATCAGTCTTATTAAAAAGAACATAGGAAGTGCCGTGAGGGATTGGACAGCGTTCTTTGCCAGACTCCCAGCTCTCAGGGTGCTAGATTGCACAGCAGATATTGGCCAGTGACCTGTTAGAGCAGGGGTCCCCAATGTGGTGCCCATGGGCATCGCGATACCCGGTGACACCTTTCCTGGCATCTGCCAAATGCTTTTAGAAAGCGGCTGAGGCCTACCAAGGCTTCTGATTGGCCTGTGGAGTATGATTGGCCGTGCAGTTTTTGAAACACACTGCTGCGGGACCAGCTACCACCCCAGCACAAGGAGATCTTCATTGTGTGAGCGAAGGTAAGCTGTGGCAGCTGCTTTGTGGCCGGTTCTGTCTTCTGCAGCAGCCATTTTATGACAGCCATTTTGCAGCCGCGTCCACCATGCTGTGTCAGAATTCCAGAGGGGCCCACAGGCTGAAGAAGATTGGGGACCCCTGCGCTAGAGGACCATGGTTCTTGACCGTCTCTGACCAATGAAATACTTGAGCTCTGTAGAGACGAACAAATGAATGTGCAGGGGCAGAGTAGGAATGAAAGCACAGCGCCACCCCAGGGAAAGCACACAGAACAGGGCCAGCAATCTTGTTCCTGCTCTCTCTGCACTATGCAAATTCATTTGCCCCCCCAGTATTTCTGCACAGGACTACGAATGTGCTCTTTTTTGTAAGCCTGTTTTCAAGCATAAGGCTGGTTTTCAAATGCCAAGTTACTCAAAACACATGTTTGATTCCGCACGACTGGCGGGAAGACTTCAGTACTCCCCCGTTCTGATGTATTCCAACTTAACTCCAAACAGAAGCAGAATGCTATTGAGGCACTGCCTTAATGACCATTTCTGATGCCCGCCGCTTTGCTTTTTCAACAGATTATGATGTGTTCAATGTACGGCATATGTAAGGTGAAGAACATCGACCTCACATTTAAAACCATCGTGACGGCGTATAAAGAACTCCCTAATACAAACCAAGAGGTATGGGAAAGCGTGTCCTTTAAAAAATTTTTAAAAATTAGAGGCCCACCAATGTGGCGTGATTTTCAAAAGCTCAGGAAGAAGAAAATAATAACTTGGAGCCTTTCCTGGTTTCAGTGCTTTAATCAGTTGCTTAACTTCCCCTTGGAGACAGATGAAGATGGGTAGCTGTGTTGGTCTGTCTAGAGCAGTAGAAAAGAGCCAGAGTCCAGGAGCACCTTCAAGACTAACCAGATTTGTGGCAGGGGAGGAGCTTTCGTGAGTGACAGCTCACTTCTTCAGATATCTGAAGGAGGGAGCAGTGCCTCTCATAAGCTCATACCCTGCCACAAATTTTGTTAGCGTTTTAATAGTATTTTAGTGATATTTTTGTGTGTGTGGTTTAAATGGCTCCGAGCGATTCTGTGAAGTGGCGGGAAGCAAGAAACCCGGAGGGTTAAATGGCTCCGTTAAACAGGCCGGTTCGTGCCCATCCCTAGTCTTTAAGGTGCTACCAGACTCTTGCTTTTAACTTTCCTTAAAAAGACTGGATCCAGGAGTCCAGGAGCACCTTCAAGACTAACCAGATTTGTGGCAGGGGAGGAGCTTTCGTGAGTGACAGCTCACTTCTTCAGATATCCGAAGGAGGGAGGAGTGACTCTCAAAAGCTCATACCCTGCCACAAATTTTGTTAGCGTTTTAATAGTATTTTAGTGATATTTGTGTGTGTGTGTGTGTGTGGTTTAAATGGCTCCGAGCGATTCTAGAAAGTGGCGGGAAGCAAAAAAACCGGAGGGTTAAATGGCTCAGTTTAACAAGGCCGGTTCGTGCCCATCCCTAGTCTTTAAGGTGCTACCAGACTCTTGCTTTTAACTTTCCTTCAAAAGACTGGATCCCACAAAGGGACAGAAGAATAATTCACTTCAGATTCCAGACATGGCTCTGTATCAGGGTTTCTATATAGCTCTAAAAAATACTGTTTCACTCTTTGCCAGAGACACACACTGTCAGTGAAGATTTAGGCTTAAGATTTCGAGAAATCAGTTGCCAGAACAAGGAGCTGTCTGGATTCCTAGCTGCACTTATTAGTTTTGCCATTGGCCCATGTACTCCTCCCCACCGTCTTTTAATAACAGCTTATAGTATTTTCTAGCCATTAACAACAGTCCTCTAATTTTGCATGAATGTGAAATCTTTAGAGATCTATATAATTTCTTCAAATAAGCTCTGGCTTTGCAGCATTCATCATCAAACCAGGCTGCATTTTTGTTTCTTTCACTAGATTTCCTGGTTCTCTTTTTTTTATTAGAATGAGCTGAAAGCATTTAATAGTTTTCCCGTGTTTTCAGTACTAGACTTAATATCCTGTGATTGCTCGATGCTGGTTTTCAATCCGTCAGTCTAAGGAGTACCCACCAGTCTAGAGATAACCTTTCCCAAAAACTGGCCCCATTTATTTTTTATATATCGGCCACAGACATCAGTTAGAGTAGTATCTGGTTGGCAACCTAACTCCCAGCTGGATCACTCGCTATCAGAGCTTCCATGGTTAAACTTAAGTACATTTCCCTTTGAAGAGCTGGAAATCAGAAAATAATCTTATCAGGCTGGCTCTACAGATGCAAGAGAAAAGTAAAGTCCAGGTGAGAATCTGTTTCTGAATTCCTATTTAAAATAGTCCAACCTAGCCTGCTTGTTAGCTGTACCAGTTTAATGCCATCAAGTTTTATCACTCTATCAAGTTTTTATTTTCTATAAAAACGATGTGAATTTAAAAGCCTGCAAGGATGCCTCAGATAGTGTTACAACTATGTGGACAGGTCAAAATGACTCGATGTCATACAACCAGTACTAAGAGACGACGTTTTTATTTGCACGCACACAAACAAGCAGAGGACCCGCGAGGACTCACAGGGGGTGATCGCACTTTCCTTCCCCACGCTACCTCCACTTCTACCTTCCTGACATCCCCCATAATATTTCTCCCCGCTTCCCTTCCCCAGCAGCCCTCTTCCCTTTTCTTCTCTTCCACCAACCTAACATTTTCTGTTTCTCCCGTATGTCCTCCACTCTCTCTTGATCCACAGTCTAGTGCCAGGTTCAGAATTAGATATTTAATTTCCTTTCCCCAGTACACACGTGCTTAACTTCTGCCTGTGAAACAGTCTTAATGCATGAGCATTTCAAGTAAGAAGGTTCTGAATTCCTGCAGTCTATAGCCTCCTTTTTGACCCCGTTGAGGCGCATTTATCCCTGTTCTTGGTGACGCCCCATTGGGCGCTTGCCTTTTGACCAGCACGGACATGATGTTCCAGTGCTGATCTCTTGAGTGGCTTTTGACGAGCCCCTGCGGCAACTGGCAAGTTTTCATGGCACGGTGTCAAGCTCAGCAGGGTTGTGTTTAAAACAGCAAGTGCCGAAAGCAAACTTCCATGTACTCGTTTGCTAGCGACAACATGTTTGCCCGTGGGCGCCGAATATCACGATGACAAGATCTATAGACCTGCCATGGACCCGGCTGTTCCTGTGTTGCTGTTAAGAGGGATTTTCTCCCAAGTCAGAGATCCAGAGAAGTGGCCTGGCAAGAGATTATCCGGGTGTTTCTTTGCAGCATTTATCTCCCACCCTTCTGCCCAAGATGATCTCAGAGCCACAGATGGGCCCACTTCCACGGGGGCGGGGGGGGGAATGCGAACGTTTAAAAATGACATATATAACTTTCTGACCTTTCTAGACTTTCAAGTGTGTTTTGATCAGGGACGGAAGATACGATTCCATTATCGTCTTCTACAACTTGGTGTTTATGCAGAAACTGAAAACTAACATTTTGCAGTATGCTTCCAACAGAGTAAGAACTTTGCTTCCTTGCCCTGCCTGTCTGGTGTGAGCTCTTGAGTTTTGGGACAGGATGGGGCTGGGGGGAAGCTGGGATCTAAAAATATTTAAAAGCTTTAAAAATTAGCAATACTCCACAGCACTGATGACGCGTTTTAATTCTTGTGTTACAGCCTCCAACATTGTCACCTATACCACACATTCCCCAGAGCCCTTACAAGAATAATTCTCCTTTACGTGTTCCGGCGGGGAATAATATCTACATCTCACCTTTGAAAAGTCCCTCCAAATTCTCTGAGAGGCTGTTGTCTCCCAACAAAATGACACCGGGATCAAGGTTGGTATCCTTCTCCTTTTGGCAAATGACCGAAATAGGATACAAAAGCAAGCAAGAGAGAATAATTCGGTGGAGCAGAAATGATTGCCTCCTGCCTGTCCTCCTTCAGTGTATGAATGCTCTGTTACTTGGCCTTGCTGGTAATCAGTAAGCTTGCAAGCTGTGTTATTGACTGCCTTATTTTAACTGATTTCTGTGTAAAGCATCATCTTCAGAAATTAATGCCGTAGTGGCTCAGAGGTTAAGACGCTGAGTTGCAGACTGGAGCTGGGATCTAAAAATATTTAAAAGCTTTAAAAATTAGCAATACTCCACAGCACTGATGACGCGTTTTAATTCTTGTGTTACAGCCTCCAACATTGTCACCTATACCACACATTCCCCAGAGCCCTTACAAGAATAATTCTCCTTTACGTGTTCCGGCGGGGAACAACATCTACATCTCACCCTTGAAAAGTCCCTCCAAATTCTCTGAGAGGCTGTTGTCTCCCAACAAAATGACACCGGGATCAAGGTTGGTACCCTTCTCCTTTCGGCAAATGACCAAAATAAGATACAAAAAGAAGCAAGAGAGTAATTATGTGGAGCAGAAATGATCGCCTCCTGCCTGTCCTCCTTCATTGTGTTAATGCTCCATTACTTGGTCTTGCCGGTAATCAGTAAGCTTGCAACCCAAACTGTTCGTTTTTCTGTGTTCTATTGACTGCCTTATTTTAACTGATTTCTGTGTAAAGCATCATCTTCAGAACAGAAATTAATGCCACAGTGGCTCAGAGGTTAAGACGCTGAGTTTGCAGACTGGAAGGTGGGTAGCTCGACAGTTCGAGCCCCGAGTGCCGCATGACGGAGTGAGCTCCCCTCTCTGGTCCCAGCTCCTGCCAACCTAGCCGTTTGAAAGCAAGACATTGCAAGTAGATAAGTAGGTACCGCTGCAGTGGGAAGGTAGCAGCGTTCCGTGCGCCTCGGCGTCTAGTCATGCTAGCCACATAACCACAGAGAAGTCTTCAGACAGCACTGGTTTTTCAGCTTGGAAACGGAGATGAGCACTGCCCCCCTGAGTCGGATTTGACTGGCTTTTGAGCAAGGGAAACCTTTACTAATTGTCTAAATGCCCTGCCCTGGATAGCCCAGGCAAGTCAGATCTGAAGCTAAACAGGGTTGGCCCTGGTTAGTACTTGGATGGAGGACCACCAAGGAAGTCCAAGGTTGTTTATGGAAAATTTGTTCTGAGTACTTTGTATGTCTTACTATTATTAAATTCATTGATTATTGGTGTTAAAATTTGGGTGCATGCATTTTTTTCTTGTTTGCAGTGCTACCTCTAGGCAGCACTCATGCTGGGCCCAGGGACATAGGATTCTAGAAAACAGAGATGGTATTCTAGCCAGCTGTGAGTCCCTTATAGTATGACCTTACAAACATGGGTCATATCCTTATCCTCCCCAACACACATCCCTGGTCACCCAGGAGGAGTTACACAGTGTGGCTTCTCCCTATACCATCGTTGCCCCAGCTCCGAGAAGAGAGCACTGGAATGGGAAGTCACCGTATTGCCGGCTCTATCCAGATGACCTTTGACTTCCGATGTTTGTTTATTTATTTTATTTATTTTTGGATTTATATCCCGCCCTCCCCGAAGGCTCAGGGCAGCTAACAACGAGGCACAAGTGCCAAAGCTAAAACAGCATAAAAACAGCATAAAACAAAATACCAGAGCAATATGAGGAGGCACTTGCGTGTCATGGGGAGACACCACGGTGGGGCCCGTGAAACAGTAGGTTGCTTAACTGTAACTGATGATCTTCGAGTGGTCATCTGTGCAGTCACACACCATAGGTTCACTAGTCAGGCGAGGAAGAATAGGGCAGCTCGCCTGAAAGTGTTTTTGTTAGACCAGTCCCTCGCCCCTACAATGGCCGAGATATCAGGAAAGGGGCAATCTCCGCCTCCCCCTATGTTAGAGAGGGGAGATTCGGCGCAACGTGCTGCGGCCGTTACCAGGCAGCAAAAGGGAAAAGCAGACAAATCGCTTAAAAGACCGTCCTGCTCTGGCAAAAAGCACTCAAAATCGAAGGTGTCTAAGTTGTCTGAGAGCACTAAGCCTAATGCGGCTCGGAGGGCCACCAATGAACGCTGCCAGGCACAGTTAACGGTCGCTCCTATTGTGTTGGCTGGCTTGTCCTCAAACTCACCAACGGTGAAGAGCAAAGGATCACCTTCGGACGCGTCCACTTCACCCTATTCTTCCTCGCCTGACTAGTGAACCTATGGTGTGTGGCCTGCACAGAGACCATGAAGAAGAACAGCAGGTATTGTGCAGTGGACCCTTCTAGGCCAGGTCACTTTCTTTCTGATCAAGGAACCGCTGCCACTCGCTCTGTACCCTTACCCCTAAGGTGCATCTCAGGTATCCCTGGACCTAACAGAATGGCACGTGGTTCGTGGGCACCTTCGACCTGAAAAAGGCAGTGGTATTCATTATCTTTTAAGACTATTCAAATGTGCAGACTTGAGGTGGTACAGATTTTCCACAACTCTTATTGTGTAAGCTTATGATGTGGGGAAGTGAAGCAGCAGTTAGAGGTTGTCTTTATAAGGGTAGATTACAAGGCTGGGTTCAACTGTCTACTTTCCCCTCTCAAGGCTGCTTCTCTCCCCTCCCCGCCCGTCTCCCACCTGCAAGGGAAGAAATAGTCGAACAGCTGGGCATGGAACAGCGGTCACTGTGTGTGTGTGGGGGGGGGGAGGTATTTGTGAAGTTCCTGCATTGTGCAGGGGGTTGGACTAGATCACCCTGGAGGTCCCTTCCAACTCTATGGTTCTAGTGGTTCCCATATCTTTCCACCTGCAGGAAGCAAAGCTTCTTGAGGGAGACAAATGTCAAAAAGAGGCACAGTTGCAGAAGAATATACTGTGGATTTTGGCACCCCCAGGGCTGTGCATAAAGATACACATGGACAGGATAAGGGAATGTTGAGTAGTACGGTTCATGCTAAGTCTTCTGTGTAGTTTTGTGAGACACACACACACCCCATTTCATCAAAAAGTTGAAAGAACATTCATTTGTTTTTCTTTATTCTTGTTTCTGCAGGATATTGGTGTCAATAGGTGAATCCTTTGGGGTGAGTTTCTTGCGTTGAATGCCAACTGTTTCTATTAGGGTCTAGGCCAGGGGTGGCCAAACTTGCTTAACGGAAGAGCCGCACAGAAGAAACGTCAGATGTCTGAGAGCCGCAAGACATGAGCAAATATGAACACGCACGTTTTTGTCGGGAAATATGCAAACTTGCTTTTTCTTAAAACGAACATTAAATAAGACTGCCCGAAATAAAAACAAAAGGTGTAAAAACAGATCTCGATAATGATATTTAAAGAGACAAACGCCTTCTCCAAGCCAGCTGACTGAGTGGTGGGGGTTGAGAACACATTTAAAGTTGCTTCCTTTCTCTGCTCCCGCTCATTTCGAGCCTACCCAGGGAAGGGAACAGTGGCTGGGGAAGGGAAGACCGATCGGGGAGGCATGCCCCTCCCCTTCGCTTCCCCATCCGCCCTTCTGGGAGCCGCACAATACGTGTAAAAGAGCCGCATGAGACTCCCGAGCCGCAGTTTGGCCACCCCTGATGTAGAGCATTAGTGTCAAATGGCAGGTAATGAAAAGTTTTGTATAATTTCCCTGAGTTCCATTCTTTCTTTCTTTTTAATGAAAAGCAGCTGCTCGATGCTGCAGGCGGCAGTGGCAGGAGGTGGAGCCTACCTTTTAGCCCAGCGATGTATTTACATCCCCCTGTGTCTAAGATGCTTGTCTACCTGTATGGACAAAATACAGGACCCTGTATTTCTTCCTCTCCGTTAAGGGAAAAACAAACAGACACAAATCAGGGGAAGTTACACTTGAGCCATGTTGGTTCTGAAGTATCGGGCGTGTGTAGCCCTATCTCAAAAGGTGTTTTATTTTTAGACCAAGGGCTCAATTTGACATTTCTGTGTGGGTCTTCTGGTGATCTAGACTGCTGAAAAGTTTCAGAAGATAAATCAGATGATGTGCAGCAGCGATCGCCACCTGAAACGTGGGTCGGAAATGAGCGGTGGGCCCAAACCTCTGAAGAGGCTGCGCTTTGATACAGAAGAGCAGGATGAAGCAGACGGCAGGTGAGTTGACAGAGTCTGTCCTCTCTGCTTGGTGAGTTAGGTTGTCCTAAGTGATTTTAAGTCTCCCATTTCTCTCTGTTTTCTAAAAAAAAGAAAGAAACGGTGGCACGGCTGCAAGTTTCCTCCTGCTGCAAGAGCAACAGGGAGGGGGAAAGTCGTATGCTATGAGCAGAGCTCTGCTTGCCATTGTTAGGATCCAACCCAATGAAATTTTTGAAGGGTACCTCTATATATACACGTTACCACAGTGTGCATATGTGTGCCTGTCTTTGTGTGTCTCTTATGCATTATCAGCATTTGAGAAGATAAATCTTAAAAGTTGTTGTTCAGATGGTGTGGCAGAATGGCACCGCTAACCTGCAACCACCTCTCCAGCCCTTTGAGGTTTCTGGGCGTCAGTGGCCACCCAGGTTTCTGCCAAGTGATGCTGCTCTCCCGGCCCCCCCAACCCTCACGGTATTTTTTTCGGTACTGGTGCCACCAACTAGCGGTTTTAGGAATTACTTGCTAAGAGGGACAGTGCTCTCACCTTCCTTTCCTGGGTTGCTGTTCTAAGGTTTCATCTAGTGCATGCATCTTCTGCTACCTAGCAACTGGTTATCACACGGATGGGTTACTACACTTGCACATTTCTGGGCAAATAGCGATTTAGCAATTAACTGCCCCCTTTCCCCTAGCGCCTAGTAGCGCGTCCAAACAGTAGGTATCTATGTGGAACAACTATCGGCATTCAGAATAGTTCTGAATTTACTCAAAGTAAAAAGGCTACACACCCTTTCCTTGCACTGCAGTGGATTGAGCAAGGAATACAAAAGAAAGGTCTAAACATTCAGTTGCTCTCTCTGTACATGCCTTTGCTGATCTTAATCTAAGGCAGACTCTCTAACTTAGATGTTAGGAGTTCTATAAACTTCATATTACCTTGGAGTCTTTGTCTAGATGGCCTTCTGTCTGCTCCATCAAGACAGAGCTCAGGTGTGAGAGCTCCTTCCTCCAGGTGTAATCAGAAGATGGGCCTGCAAAAATGGCTCCCCCTACCAAAGGCTTTTATCTCCTCTGTTTTCCCACCCCATTTTGGATCAAAGAATCCAAGTCTCTGTATCCTTTTTAGGTGTCAGATTCCTAGTTCAGGTGTAAGCTGACCATTTCATTGTCCAGCCAGGATGTCCATTAGCATTTCCAAAGCTCTGATGGTTGGTACTTGGTGAGACTTGGGATCAATTAACTTCCCCCCCTCCTGCCTGTCTCCACTAGGAGAGAGGAAAACGTTTAAAATGCTAACCTCTGAATAAAATGCGTTTTTCCACTGAGGGCAATTATTCTAATGATGTGTTACAACTTGTATAAAAACGAAGCTATAAAATGGAAGCTAAAGAGTGATGAATGGAAAACAGTGTTTCCTGGACCGAGTTTATTTTATCGCATCTCTATCCCTAGTGACCGAAGGGCTCGGATGGTCCCAGGGCCTGGTCTCCGAGGTGTCAAGTACAGGCTCTAGAGTTTAGAGAGAGCTGGAAACAGCACTAGGAAAAGAAATCTGTCCATTTTAACTGATCACTCTTATATAGTGTTGCATACCTTGATCAGGAGCTGCGGTGGCTCAAGTGGTTAAGACGCTGAACTGCAGGCTGTGGACGGTCGGTAGTTCAGCAGTTCGAGACCCGGGTTGTAGCATGACGGAGTGAGCTCCCGTCTCTAGTTCCAGCTCCTGCCAACCTAGCAGTTCGAAAGCAAGAGATTGCAAGTAGATAAATAGGGACCACTTCGGTGGGAAGGTAACAGCGTTCCGTGCACCTTGGTGTTTAGTCATGACCACGGAAACGTCTTCGGACAGCGCTGGCTCTTCGGCTTTGAAACGGAGATGAGCACCGCAACCCTAGAGTTTCGAGCAAGGCTTTCGAGCAAGGGAACCTTTACCTTTATACTTTGATTTGCAGGTGCTGAACTCCCCCCCACCTCAATTTTGCTGTCATGTAGCCAAAAGCAATAGCCCTCAATCAAATTTTGTCAGGCTGAAAAATCTGAGCATAACAGACGACATTTGACTTGGTCCTAGCAAACTGGATTGAGGAATTGTGCCTAGTCTGGATCTTGAAAGGTTAAGACAAAGTGGCATTTCAGGTCATGGTTCACCGAGTGGGACTCAGGAGGCAAGCTTCCATGGAAAAATGAATCAGCCAGTACAGTTGCTGCTTGCATTGCATCATGTAGATTGTCCACCTGGTTTGCCATATATCCCCATCTGCTTTCTTGCTCTACTAGCCCTGTGCATCTGTCTCTGGGTTGAAGTCATGCGTGTCTCTGTAAAATATATATATGCATATATTTCACTTTACAGGGAGCACCTCTCTGGAGAGTCCAAGTTCCAGCAGAAGCTTGCAGAAATGAGTAAGTATCTGTGTACTATGAGAACGATACAGGTATGGAGTTAACAAAGGGGCTGGTAACTAGATTCTCAGAACGGTGGCCAAGCCCCAAAGAGCTGCTGCTCCAGTACCTCCAAGGGCCCGGTGGGGCTTTCCTTTCTGGGCAGCTGTTTCCTGTGCCACAGGGCAAACCCATGGCTGAAACTGAATGGAGTTTTTAAAAAGCAGTTTGTGATATAACAGCAGGAGGAGCTGTGGTTCCGGGGGGGGGGGGGGGGGGGACAAAAAATCCCTCCCAACCAGTATTTCTTTCAACCGCATGAACATTTAGGAACTTTATGTAGTACCTATTGTGATCCAGATTTTCAGACAGAAATATTGTAAAAAAGAGTGTTCAAAGATTTAGAAACATTGGCCTATAGAATGCCCTTCCATGACAGATTTTTTAAACACACCCAACGAAAGAGGAGATATGATGATATATGTATTATTCTCCATTCCCGGTGATGATGTTTGCAGTTTTTGCCCTGTAGGGCCAGTTTTGAAAAATTCTTGCTTGGATTGGAGGGACGGATTACACTGCGAATTACCACTGACTAGTATTTAAGTAAATGTTCATATGACAAAATTCCCTCTTTCAGTAATACACTTAATGGTTTAGCAGATTAAAAACCTGTGTTTGGTTTGATTATAATAGTTTAACATGTTAACACAGTTGGTCTATCAGAAGCCCACTGATGTTTTCCACTTCCTCCTGCAACTTGAAGCCCCTCCATCATAGGCAAATGCCACAGGGGTGGGGGGTGGGGGGATTGGAGACACTGGCTGATTTCGCACTAGAGCTGCCTCGCGGTTGCGCCGCCGTTTGCCCCGACACTATTGGTCAGTTTCACACCCGAAGCTGCGGGGCTGCATTTTGACTCGCGGCTTCGCCCGATTTCCTCCGCAGTTTCATGATCCTCAAAAAACAGGATCACAAAACTGCGAGGGAAATCGGGCGAAGCCACGAGTCAAAATGCAGCCTCGCAGCTTCGGGTGTGAAACTGACCAATAGTGTCGGGGCAAACGGCAGCACAACCGCAAGGCAGCTCTAGTGCGAAATTAGCAACTGTGTACACAAGGCTCCCAGCATGTTTTTTTTTCTCAAGGCTCAGCTGGGCTGCTGGAGAGGTGGAAAACACTACACATTCACTCTTGGTACACTTGGGTGTACAAACCAGTGTGTAAGGGAAGGCTCTCCAAGAACTGATGAGACCTCGGTGTATTTGGCCTAACAGTTGCGGCACTGTTCTTTGCATGAAACAGGAAGTGATTCATTCAAATTAATGCCACATTAAGTGGCTGTTGTCTTCTCTCAGTACATTTTTTAAATTAAATGTCCTCTTTGCCACAACTTGGGACAAATAAACACCTTTGATGAGCAATTATGCTTTCTTCCGCAGCATCCACTCGGACCAGGATACAAAACCAGAAGCTAAATGATGGAGCTGACATGTCTACCCCTGATCAAAAGTGAAGTCCCCTGCAGGCCGTAGGACACGCACTCTGGTGCTTTGCTAACTCTCACTGGGCCCCTGGGCATACAGATCTTAGCTTCTCCTTTTTTAACCATAGCTAATTTGAAGTAGTTGGGCTTTTTTTTAACTTCTGTTTTCCCCCAACGCTTATGCTATTGATGCAGCATGTATGCAATATTATCTACTTAATTGTTAATTTATATAAATTGGGGGGTGGGATTAAGTGAACATTTCTTTGTTTCCCAATGTAGCATTGCTGGACTGGTTTGATACCATCTCGTTCTATTTTTACTGAATTCCTTTTTTTTTTGGGGGGGGGAATGTTTGAAGTTTAAGTAGAATTAGTTGAAATGCACTAATGCCATTTTAATATTAGAATTTGATGCACTATTTACTTTTCCATAAATTAGAATCCAAATACTGCAGTGTTTAAAAAAAATGCAGTTTCCACTCTGTAGTCCACGGAGTCTCAGTGACGTGTGCAGAAGTATCTGCAGGACTGCGCCCTACAACTCTGTGTAGAACTTGACAGTGAGGTGTAAACTCGGTGTCTCGCCATACTACTGAAACAAACAAACAAAAATCCCTATACCTCATTAACATTTCCATCTTTTACCCCCTTTTGTAATGTTAAAACATGCACTTATTTGTTATCAGCTAGCCTGGTTGGATTTTACTAAATTATTCTGGAAGCCCAAATCGCAGTTCTTCCCTCTGCAGTACATAATACCCAAAGTGCACTTTTCTGTCTGCATCATGAACAAAGAAAGAGGTTAAAAATGCCATAGAGTTAATGGCTCTAGACGCATTAGCTTCATGCAAATCAGTACTTGGATTGTAAACACTGAATATGTAAAGAGACGAAACGGAAACCCTTGGGATTTTACTAGAAATAGGTTTATTTAAGACTTTGGATAGAAAACTGCAAGTATCCTATTTTATTATGACTGTGTATTCCGGATAATTGGCAACTGTACACTAGAAGTATTGTTCTGCATACTAATGTTACTCCTTTAAGGATAAATAAAAAAAAAGGTTTTAAAATAACACTGGTTTGTTACAAAAATGACATACAGCAAATGTAACCTGTCACTTCAGAACTTTGTCACATAGCTCAGGAAAAGAGAGGTTTTCTAGCTTCATGCTATCTGACTTTCAGAGTGTGTTTTAGTTTCCTGCTGGGTACAAAATGCTCAGTAGAGATTAGAATAATACAAATGTACATTTTTAGAAATTATTATAATACAGTAGAAAAGACCAAGGGGGCAACACTGATTGTTTGTATGATTTTATTAATGATTACAATGTTAACAGATTTCTACACTTGGAATGTAGATGGAATTTAACTTTAATGTGACCCACACACACACACTACTGTCAGTACACTGTGATGTAAACTTTGTTCCAGTCAATAATTATTTTTCAATCAAAAGTTAGTTCCTTGCACGTTGAAAACTCCAGTTAACCAGAATGCTAATCCTCACTAGAAGTATCTCCGTAAAACATTTAAAATTCCGAATCTTAGCTTTCCTTGTTTTAAGTAAAACTTCATCTAATGGTGCTGGTAGCCCTATCTATACAAAGCTACTAGAGGTCACTAAGATATGAAATTTTGGAGTTTAAATCCTTTAAAGAAAAATCAAAGCCTCTTCTAATTTAGATTAGCTCCTTTCTGGCTACACGCGGGGGAACTGAGCATCTGAAATTGCCCCCCCCCCCAGCTGATCTGTGAGGGCCTTTCTATACCACTAGCTCCTAGATACAAAATATGAGTGGAGTTCACTCACAAAATAGCCTGAATGCTGGAGTTCAGTTTTCAAATACTCACATGCAAAGCTGTGCCCCATGTACTTGGAAGGTTTTTGGGACACTTGTGTGTACGAAGAATTCAAATCAATATATTCATAATAATCCGACAGCTGAATAGTCGCTGTTGATTTTTTTTTTAAGTACATCTAACTGGAAAAAAGGTAAGAATTTTAAATCTGTGAGCTCTAGAGGGACGCATGCATCCAGACACTTCTGAGTGGCTCCCTCTCAACAGAGTTGCCCCAGAGTGCTCATTTACGCTCCCATTTAAAGTGAAAAGTCCGGGGAAATACAAGAAAGGCCTAGCAGCAGCTTCCCTTTAAACTATGTATGCGGCTTGCTTGCTTTTAACTTGGGAAAGGCAGCTGCTGGGAAAAGTTTGTGGAAATCGTGCCAAGTGCAGTCTCAGAAGCTTGGATGGGAGTGCGGTGAAGCAGGAACTATTTATATTACACAAGAGCAGAGAAAGTGGTTTGGTACTGCGTGGGTGGTTCTTCACTAACCTACGATTTAGGGTTTTGAAGCTTCTCTCTGAAGAAGTGAGCTCTGTCCCACAAAAAATATACTACACAACAAATCTGTTAGGTCTTTAAACTGCCATGTTTCTCTAGTGGCACTGGCCTTTCCTACCTAGTCAACAAACCTTAAGTGCCCCTTTCTTTAAAGGGAGTGGCAGGGTCCGGATTCCCCCTCCTCCAGTTGCAATTCAGTGACATCCCCCCCCCATTTGGTTCTCAGGGGTTAGCAGAACCTCAGTAACATGAAAATGGGGGGCTCTGCAGTGTGTGTGTGGGGGGGAACTGGTAGGAATTGCCACACCCCCTCTTCAGGACACTTAACTCAAGTAATCAGAATGTGGTTGGATACATACCTAAACGTTTAGATGGAAAGCACAGGTAGAATAGCTCATTAACAAATTCAAGCACAAGGAAGGCTCAGACACTCACACTGAAAGGGACAGGTTTTTTTTACACGTTTACGTGTAGAACAAGGTCCGGTACTCTCTGCAGATGGGATGTGGGGCTGCAGTGGAGGAATCCAGCGAGCAGAGCAGCAAATCAAAGAGGCAAAGGAAAGGGAGCAGGTCTCTAGAGCTTCCCAGCACAACATTTAACCGGTCGAGTTCTTCTTACACCACCTATATGCTATTTTGCATTTGCATGGTATGTGATCTTTTCCAAACGTTTTCAGAACAAGACTTCAAGGAAAAGGAGCTAGTTCATATGAATGGTGGAAATGTTAGTGTTAAAGCTTATACTGTGTATAAACATGATCCCTAAGTGGGGTGGGTTTTTTTTAAAATCCCAGGTGCATGGCACCATATTCTCCAAAGTCAATGGCTTTGTCCTGAAGCTATGGAGCCAAAAATGCACTCCTGTCAGCTTGAATGAGAGGGGTCTCTGCAACCCGGCAGGATCTTGGCACTTCAGGTTTAAAGGCATGAGCACCCCGTGCCGAAAACAGAAGTTTTCATTCCCCCTCCCCGCAAAACAAAGGTCCTTCAGTTTTTAAATGCTCCCACCCTGCTGGCTTTGCTGATGAAGTTCTTCAAAAGGTCGTGGTCCATTTCTGCAAAGCCTGTCGTCTGAGTAACCACAGTCAGGTGATTTATGCAAAACCGGAAGCAGAATTCCTCCAAGTCCTAGAAATGAAACCAGATTGGCCTGCGTAGGTTAGCAACATGAGTAAACACGGTCAAACCACAATCTTAGAACATCACCCAGGAAGACCTGTGAGAGTAAAAAAAAAGAGAGAGAGAGAGAGAGAGAGAGAGAGCGAGCTATCTATATAAAAGCTGTGGTCAGCGCTGACTAACAGTGACGCCATGGGGTTTTCAAGGCAAGAGACACATTCAGAGGTGGTTCTGCCATTGCCTGCCTCTGCATTGTGACTCTGGTATCCCTTGGTGGCTTCCCATCTAAATACTGACGAGGGCCAACCCTGCTTAGCAGCCAAGACCTGATGAGAGGAGGCTAGCCTGGGTGAGAGTGCACCAGGGGCACAGAATTCGGGGTTGGGAGGCTGAGCTTCCCGAGCGCCTCTGAAAAACATAAGATCCCATCTGTCAGCAGAGCCTTCTATTCTGACAGTCCCTGTTTGTCTGAAACTACTCTTTTTATCTCTCTCTCCTACTACAAAATTGTCAACATTTAAAAAATCTTAAGTTGTACACGTGCCTCTAAGCACAGCTGGAGAATCACAGGGCAGGAGAAAGTGAGGTGGTTTTAATTCCATGCAGCTCATCTTGGGATCAGGTGCTCTAGCAAGGAGAGCTGGAGTCTGTTACGTTTCTTGCTTTCTCCAGGAGGCATCTAAGCCTGATCTAGCCGAGTGGGCAGCGTGTGTGTGTGTGTGGGGGGGGGAGCTTGCTGCTACTTTAGGCCCCTTCCTTTATAGCTTGGACTATTTCCCTCAAGCAGAAGAAGAAGAAGAGGAGATTGGATTTATACCCCACCCTTCACTCGGAGTCTTACAGTGGCTTTCGGTCCCCTTTCCCTCTCCCTCCCCTCAACAGACACCCTGTGAGGTAGCAGTGCTCCATTTTTGACATCAAGCCAGGTTCTCAGGGGTGGCTAGCACACGGGAGACTTAGTCATGCCAGCCAGGTCGGAAACACGCTTGGTGTTTGGGTATGTGCTTCTATGGTGCCTTGGGTAAAAGAGTCTGGCTGTGTGAGAGCATGCACGTGTACAAATCTGAGCGTCTGTGCTCTCTCTCTCGCGCACTGTCTTTGGCTCCAGGGGTGGAGCTGGGTCTGTTCCTTGAATGCCAGGGCTGCGTTCTGGCGCTGAACATCGTCCAGGGGCTGACCTTGGGTCATCCCGGTGACTTGAGAGTTCCATTGTTTCGACCCCAGCACTCAGGACAGGCGGAAGCCCACAGGGATGGTCTGCTACATTCTCCTTCACACTTTCCCGGTTGCTCTCATCGATACCAGGCATTCCCCACCCCCCAGGGACTCCAGGGTTTATGCTCTTATCCCGCTAAGGTTTCCCAAGAAGCCTGGAAGGGGGGGGGGAATGTTCTGCCCTGTTAAGAGAGGCTGAATGTGTGGAAATGGGCTGGTAAAGCTTTTCACGGCATGAAGGTATAAACAGCATCACCCGGTTTGTTTATTGTTGTTGTTTTTTTTTAAAAAAAGACATCTCATTAAATCTCTCTTAAGGAGGCAGAGCTTTGTTTTGCTCCAGGTGGCTGGCAGCCTTCCTGGGAACCCGGGAAGCTCCCCCTCCCAATGAGGTCAGAAGGTATGCCCTGCCTTCCAATCAGGAGGGGTACTGTTCTGCATGCTGAGACTCTCCCTTGGACAAGTTAAAGAAACAGGACCTTCTGGTAAAAGTATGTTCCATAGCAGATGGGGGAGGGGGGTCCCGCCTGATCACGTGGGATTGTGCCCGCTCTGAATCGGGACAACAACAATAATACAGTCCACAGTAAACAATGGCCAAAAAACAGCAAATAACAACTGTGTACTGCACAAACCCGCACCAAAGTTAACAAAAAGAGACTTCAACACAAAGGTAATTCAACACATGTAATCCATCATAGGAAAATACAAAAGTCCACAATATCCCAAAGGGAAAGAACAAAGTCCAGAATAGAAATTTCTCAAAGGGAAACAATGAAGTCTGGAATAGATATCAACACTTTTCCTAAGTATTGTTCAGTGTTTCGGACTTCTGGTCCTTCCTCAGGAACAAAAAGCCACTACAGGAAGTCTCATTGCAATTTCTTAACAGGCAAACTTTATTCAGTTTCTATATGGGCCAGGTCTCCTAAGACTTCATTGTTTCCCTTTGAGAAATTTCTATTCTGGACTTTGTTCTTTCCCTTCGGGATATTGTGGACTTTTGTATTTTCCTATGATGGATTACATGTGTTGAATTACCTTTGTGTTGAAGTCTCTTTTTGTTAACTTTGGTGTGGGTTTGTGCAGTACACAGTTATTTGCTTTTTTTGCTCTGAATCGGGGGGGGGGGATCCTTATCTGCAGGTCAGTCTCTCAGCATCTCTGCTACACCAGCTCCACCAGGTGAACGGCTCCCAAACCTCCTAAAGATCGTGTCTCAGAAGGGGCTTAAAGAGAGGCTGGATGCTCTCCGTACCTTCGCTTCATACTTCACTGCAGCGGAGAGAAGAGCAATGGCATTTTCCTCACCAATCCCCTGCTTGATCGTTTGTTGGCAAAGCTTTTTCAGCCGACTCTCTCTGTAATAGGTCGCCAAGTCTAACAAACCTGCCGGGGAGAGGAAACAAGTTGATAAAACGCTAGGAAGACTTTTGGTTCTACCCACCCACGAACGGTCCAAATCATCAAAAGAGCCACAGGATGTAAAGCTTGGATCTTATGTAGCACAAATGGACTCACATGGCATAAACCATCCCATTTCTGCACTGATTTCCTGCTTCCCCAAAACTCTGCTCACCTGGGTTAATGGATATCAGGAATATCATGGGGGCTACCTGTGGAGGAGCTGGCCTCATAAGTGTTGTAAAATAGTCAAAAATTGTTTAATACTTAGACTATTAGATGGATCTTGCTCTATTGGAAAGAAGAGATTTCTTTGCTTTTAAAAATACTTTATTCTAAGGGAAAAGGGTTCACGGGATTACTACAAATTAACATAACACTAAGAGCTACATTTCTATGCTGCCTACAGACAAAACAAGATCAGGAGGTCCAGCAGTGGGTCCAGGACACTAGAAGCCCTCCCACTGTTGACCCCCCCCTCAAGCACCAAGAATACAGTGCATCACTTGCCCTAGACCGAGAGTTCCTATGTATACCTTGTAGCTAATAGCTTCTCCCTCCTCTGTAAGTACAGAGGCCTTCTGTTTGCAGAAAGGGCACACAGGACCCCAGCATGAAGGTCTGAGGGCACGCCAAGTGATGATAACCCAACCATGTCTTCTCCCCCCCCCATCAAATTTTAAGTGTTGCATTCCTCAATGCGTGGGGTTCCCCTCTGGGAAGGTGTTAGCTGTCGGTTGGGGACGTCCTGGTCCAGGAGCCGGAAGGCGGAAGAATCTACTCGGCTACGAAAAAATCCCTGCAGTGGGATGCTCTGGCCAGGCGGTGGCAGTGTGGCGATACGACGTATGGGTCCTGAAGCCCCAATGTCATCAAGCCGGTTGACGTAGTCGTTCGGGACATGACTGAGCCAAGCTAGAAACGTTTCCACCATGCAGTTACGGTGTGTGCAATTAAAATGAATTATATGTTGTCTTCCCTATCCCCTATGAAACATTGTTAGTCCCCTGTCTAAAGAGTAACTGTAAATCACTTTGAGCCCACTTGTGGGGAAAGCGATTAATAAATCGAATGCATTATTATTATTCCTACTCAGCTGAGATTTTTCTGCATACTCTTTTTTAAAAATTAAAGAGTATACCTGCCCAGAATGGATGTATGGCAGAAAACAGGCTCATGGGCGATGGTTTTGATCTCTAGAAAGGCGAAACTGTGGATGAGAGGTGCATTTAGACATTAGAAAGACGCACACAACAGATTGTGGAAGTGAATATGAAACTGCGTCCTTGGGACAAGCAGCAAAGTTCAGGGTTTGCTTTCTGTACTGTGGCCAGACATCTAAAAAGCTACGCTCCTTGTACTCAAGAAGCGCAGTGCTGCCGACTCTGTGCTCGGACAGGAGCTGTGCTGATTTGCTGGGTGCTTTGTAAGGCTCTGTGCTAAAATATTCAGTCTAAGGTACATCCTTTTCCATGTGTGGGGCCTGTCACAACCTGAGAGACGGAAAGAACCTCGGCTGATTGCTTCCTGGCACGTTCCACACAGTAATTGTGACCCCCTAGACACACATCCTTCCCCCTGTAGACAGCTGCACATTTTCTCCTCCTGACTGTTACCCAATTAGGATCTATTTTTGATGCCACCACTCTGAAAATGGAAGCCAAAATTATTCTGAGCTCACTTCAGTATTGGCTTAAAATAAATTTCCAGCCAATGGGGCTAACTCGTTTGCTCTTGTTGGACAATTTCCAATCAAAATGGTTAAAATCAGTTCATAACAAACGACGTGTTCTTGGTTTTTCTCTCTCCAAGAGATTCTGGCCAGGCAAAGTTAGCTCTTAAACAGAGAACAATGGATGTTGGAGAGACAGGCAGATCTTGGTAAATATCCCAACTTTAGAGTGCCTGGGCAAATGAGATACTGCCTGGTCCCTGTGGACCACTTATCGCATTTAGACACCTATAAGTTTACGAGAGC